AGACGGCGAACAACACAAACACCACGAACATGGTGAGAAAGTTCCTGAAGTCATGGGGCTTGATCTTGGGCCGACTGTCCGGCTTGACCCGTTTGCGCACCTGTATGACGAGGATCCAGATGCGTAGGTAGCAGTATGTGACAATGCCAATGGGCAGAATGAAGTGCACCACCACCACCGTGATGGTGTAGAGCGAGCTCACCGATTGGGCGAAGGTGCACGAGTAGACGCGCGGGTCGTACTGCAGAGACTCCACAAACCAATTTGGGACGATTGCCAGGACAGTCAGCACCCAGACCAGGACCACATAGCATACTGTGTTCTTGTTGGAGAAGAGCTTGTCGTACTTAAGGCTGTGGCAGATGTAACAGTAGCGGTTGATGGCGATACCTGTGATGTTGAAAATAGAGCCGATCACACTGAGCCCCATGAGGAAGCCGCTGATTTGACAGTGAATATCACCGGCGATCCAGCGGTCATGGAAGATGGCGGTTAGGACGAGCGGGTAGGGGTAGATGGCCACTACTAGATCTGCTATAGCCAAACTCACCACAAAGGCATTACCTGTAAAAACGAGAGAAAATGAGAAGTGAAAACTCTGTGTATGGGGACTTGTGTGGAGTTAAGATATTTGTCCAGGTAACTAGCTGTAATCAGTTGCTTTGTAATTATGCAAGATCCAGTCCGATCTCATTAGAAAACACAACTATTTTATGAGGTGACGATTGCATATGAATTCGTTATGTGATTCATACGGAAATGTATGACTGTTAGAAGAAGAAAACAAGTAAGAATGAAGGTTCATTCCTAAATCTAAATGTCAGTGGAGTGAAAGCAGATTGTATGAAGACGTACGAGTGAGATCCTGTGAATTAATTCAAATTAGCCACCAATTTGCCAAAATGTAAAGTAGTTGTATTCTCATGAAAATCCATTGGCAAGATCATATCCACCACAAAAGGTTTTTTATGCATGGTAAAAAAAAAACGCATTCTGAAGTTGTAAATAGAATAAAGATTATTGGAGTCAAAACTCTAAATTCACGTTTATTTTAACATTACTCGCCATTTCTTTGTAATTAAGTGACATCTGCTAGAAATTTCTGAATGAAAATGGTACTCGTATGACATTGCTGTCTATCTTGTAATCTAATTTGTAATCTAGTTACAAGTAGATAATTTTTGGAATTGGATTATGTAATCCAGATTACATGTAATCAGTTACATGTACTGGTGATGTGTAATTTAAAAACATTAATCTCATGATTAAGAATAAATACATCATAAAGTCATTTATTTTATTTCTACTACTGCCATGATAGTAGAAGAAAAAGACAGTGTACACTAACGTCCACTACAGCGCCCCCTGTGGCAACAATGAGAAAAGCAAGATTTGTCAGCGTTTCATTTGTACAGTGTTTTTTTCACAGTGTTGTTTTAAAAACATGTTAGCATGTTCAGGTTGGTCCCATTGGTAGATGCTGTACCTTGACCATTTGGATCCAAAAAGCCTTGTATTCTGATCTTTGTTTGCATGCATGCAGCATAAAAATTGCATAAAATAAAATAAATAATAATTAATTGGTTACAAGGCATTAATGGCTCAAGTTAAAAAAAGAGGCATCAGATTGTGCATTCCTGGGGGGCTCCTGTGCCAGTCGAGCAGCTGCCATTGAGATTATTTTCTCCAGGTATTACAGGCAAATTTCAGAATGCAATGGGTCATAAAATTGAGCATGCAAAGTTAGAAGCATTTGCATTCATGTACTAGCATGGTGTTTCAGGCCTGAGTCAGTGTAATGCAGTAGACCCGCAACACACCCGACTGACACGTGAAAACGAATCATACAAATCACTTCAATTAGCAGTCAACAGTCTTAAACCGGCATGGTGAAGTCTCTTATTGAGGCCAGTCGGTGGTGCGACTGAAACTAACAGCGGTGTTACCTTTCCATGTTTGGGTTATCATTCTTTACTTTTACATAAATGTCAGTGACAAAT